CCTTGGGAAGTTGTAGAGTCTCCATCATCTGAATTTTTTTGAACGGGCTAAACAGTCATCTGTCAAAAATGGTCTAAGTATTAAAAATCCTGCCTTGGGAAACAGAGGGAAAGGAAGAAATAACCTCGTAAGCTTTATTTTCTGTTTCTCTAACTTAAATAGAACTTCTGGGGACTACAGAAATTCCACTTGCCCCCTCAGCTGGGCACAGCACACCTCCTAAGGCCTTGTGTTTCATGCTCATGTGTTACAAGGCCTCTGTTCTGCAGTAAGGGTGGCCCGCTCCATGCAATGGTCCAAGTGGTCCCTGCACATTAGCTTCCTACATTTGTAAAATGCAGTGGGATGAAAAGCACAATACTGCAAATATCTCAAAATCTCTGTATTTTAGAAAGGAACTTTTATTCCCACTTTTAACACATGACTAGTAGATCAAAGTAACTGAAGGCTTTATCTGGTATCTCCCAGATACTAACACTGGGTGTACATACATCACGCTGATGTGCACAGGATGAGAACCGAGGGAGTCAAGTTTTTTTCCCACCCACAAAGAACAAAAATAGGCTTTTATTCCGAATTACTTATTTTAAGCTAAAAATGAGAAAGAACAAAAGCAAAGGCTCCAGGAAGTGGAGTCTGCACCCGCATCTTATTTTAAGATGCAGCTTTGACTCTTTAGAAATTTAAAGCTGCATTGCACAGAAAGAAGAATCAGTTCAGTGGTGTTATATAGCTCACCATTTCCAAATATCAATCTAGGATCTTAGAAGCAATAAAGATTCAATAACACTCCAGTCTCCAGCTCTGAAAATGCAAAGATAAAAACTGTAACAATTAAGGACAGATACAGATATGCAATACACATTGCACAGATGTTTTATTTCCCTGCAATTATATATATGTCCTCCAAAATAAAACCCAACCTTCATTAACTCCACATCACAGTGTTGTTGTATATTCCTCATGAAAAAGAAATCAGTAAAAATGAAAGTACTCATCAAGATAGCACCAGCATCCAGACTAATCACATACGCATTCCACCAAATTTACTTCCGACATGTTCAGATGCTGGCCCTCCATGAGTAATTATTACACAAATATTTCCAATTTGACTCAGAAGATGTATCTAAAGGAAATATCTGTGCAAAATTGGCAGCATAGTTTTACACACTTACTGAAAAACATCACAAATACATCCTTTGGGGATACACACAATCATTTTTGGAGACTCCACACAACCACGTGCAAACTTATTAGGAAACAGAGCTTCAGCATCAGTTAATGAGAAAAATCCCTGCTGAGGTCAGAGTTTCTGATGCAGATTGTTAATTCTGACCTCAGCACCTCAGGATTGCTGGCTGATGCCCCAGGCAGAGCAGGGCCAGAACAGCTGTACATGAGCAGCTTGCACGGAGCCACTGCAATATACAGATACAGATATTCCCCTCTCAGAGACAGGAACACATCCAGCACTGCCAATTTGCTGACAGACACCAGTGACTGTGTCCACAGCAGGCAAATGCAGCCATGCAACATTCTCATTTTGATGTGCAAAAGCAAAAAGCATTCAATTTAATCTTCAATCAATTTACTTATTGATTGGTTCTCTCATCAGATATCACAGAAATTCTCTCAGCTACCGAGGAAAAAAAAGATGCCAAATTGCCTTGTTCCTTGAAATTTATCCTAGTCCAAGGAAGAAATTCAAGGGAAATAATTTCATTTGAAAACAGCTGGTTCTCCTTCCATGGTATCCCACCCATTGCTTGGAGAATTTCTCACTCCAGAATCAGCCTAACCCTTCACAGCATTCAGCTGTAATAGTGGTTTAGCTGCAGACTCACAGGCAGAGCAGTAACACACACTGCTATTCTTCCTCTCCAGTGGGTGTTTAAGACAGCCCACAAAGACATTTAGGTACCTCAGTTTACCTTGAGCTCCATAAAGAAGGTAGTTAGCTAAACACTGTACGGCTCTGAGCTTGCACTTAAGAAAAAATTTTTTTTTCAATTTTGGCAAGTGACTGGAAAACAAGTCTTCCAGTTCTGATGAATAATCTTCTTTGACTTAAAACCCACTGCTGAACTGCAGCTTCCCTCTAGCTTTAATATGAAGGGATAGACCAGCAGAGACTACATTTCAGCACACAAATTAGGAGGGGCAAGCTGTAGGCAGCAGGTGATGTATTGCTATTGCATCACCGTTTGTTTGATTAGTGATTAGGAAGTAATTGCCTCTCTGCTCAAGAGATGAAATCTGGCAGAGTCCTTCTGAAACAGACATGGCATTTATATATTCCTCTAAAAGCTGTAAAATACTTCAGTCTGCAAGCACTGTAGTCCTAATAATCTTTGAATATAGTTTGATACAATCCCTGTGTACAGCTCATTAGGCACTGAATTCTTTGAAATAAGAAGCCCTTTCCTGTCATCCATGCACAGATCTAACACAGATGCCCCCAACTAAACAGATGCAAAATGCCACCGCAGTTAAGAGGTGATAATAAAGGAATTTGATTGGGTTAATGGAGTCACATATGGTGATGGTGTGGTCCTTGAGAACATTGCTCCTCAGCTTCAGCTTCCTCTCATATTAATCCTCTCCAGGGATTGAAGGAACAGAAGCATGGACAGCGAAAAAAATCAGATTTATTGGCAGAGCTGACATTTTTGGATGAAAATACTATTAATCACAGTCACTGAGGCAAGATCAATAAAAAATTCATAAAGAACACATCTTGTAACGTGTACATATTCCAAGAAACACTGACAACCATACCAGCACCATAATACTAAAATACACCCAATACTTTTCCTCCCCTGAGTTTTGACTTTTGTTTCTTGAATCTGTGTAGCAGAGCTCACAGTGAGGATGCTGCTGAGAGTGCCCTGTGACTGTGAGCACTAATGCCCTTCACCAGCTCCAGCAGGTGCTGTGCTATACACACAGGGTTTGGGACATGGAAGGTTTGACAGGATCAGCAAAGAGGGAAAAAAAAAAAAACAAACCAGTACTTTGCTGTGATCAGTGCTCAGACTTGAGGGAAGGGGGTGGATGAAGTGAGAAGACTACAGATTGTACAGTACTATACACTTCCATATTTGCTTCATTTCTTGACCGCTCTGCAATTAACTCGTGTTCCTGAGAACTGTAGGTCTTGTGTGCAGAATGAAAAATCTATCTTTTCATTTGGATGCTCATGCCTTTTCTTGCTGTAGGTCCTTTATATGTAGGCCTGTCTGTAATGGGGCAAGAGCAGTTTCCTTTGCTTGTCAAGAATGGCAGTGTTTCTTGCATAAAATCCCATCCTGCTGGAGCATGAGAGAGGATATTGCTTATGACAGTGGCCTCCAGACTTCTAACTACAGAGGCTGAGCAAAAACCAACCCTGTTAAAACACAATTCATCTGCTGTCCCCAAAAGTCGGCTCTCTCTCCCAGATCAAACCCCCTGCTGATCAGAATAATACATTTCTGCACATGTTTATTTTTGGGGTACAGCTAAACACTGATACAAATCCTACAGAGCACACACAGCATTAGGTCTTAATTACAATAAATTCACTGAGGAGGAAAGGAGCCTGAGAAAACAACCCAGGCAAATCCCTAAAATAGCTCTGTCAAATCTCACCTATTTTATACAGGATATAACCATACCTGACCCTGTCACTAAAGCTCCAGTGTCCGGATTACATAATTAAACAGTAATTTAATTTTAAATACAATGGCTAGAATAACTACATTGAAAAGGAAACCAGGAAAATTCTGAGACTGTTGTATGTCACTTACACCCTCTGTAAGAAACTAAAAAGACTGAATGATGTCTCTAAGTGTATATGTTAGTAAATATCACAGAATTTAAGTCGGCACCTTGATTTTAGGAGACCTGGCTTATGATGTTTTGAAGCAAATACCTGCTCCAGATTAATATTGCTATGAAACTCTCAATAAATTGTCTTCTGTTCTCAGGGCTCATTGCTGCCTGAAGCACAGCTTAACCTCTCTTGAGAGAATAGCCCAAAGTGAAGCAAAGGAAACTTGTTTTCAGATAAATCAAATTTCCAGGGCACAGAAACACCCAACAGTTACCCCCAGAGAGTGAAGGTTCAAGATGGCACTGGAATAAATGGCTTTCCTGTGCCTCTAAAAAGCTAAAAATGGACATGCTTATTATTTACATCCAAACCAGCTGGCATGCCTAATATTTCAGGAAACAGATTTTGCAGCTGCAATACAACTTGAGGAACACCCTATATTTCACTGATATGAGGTACTGCAACAGCTGAGCAATATACCTTTTTCAGTACAGCACATTCAAAGCTGGGAAATACTTTTTTTGTTGTTTGCTGCAAACGTGCTTTTTCTTATCTATAAAAATAGACATAATAATGATGCTTTATACAGCTCTGAATCTCACAGTCCATTCAGGGAGCTCAGCATCTGAGTCGTGGAGCTGGAACAGTACCAGCACCTCCACAAATCAACCAGTGAGTAGAAGATAAAACACTTGAGAGGGAGCAAAGACTACAACTTAAATCTTTCTCCTGCTGGGGTGCCCAACACTGTGAAACACTTATTTTCTATAATTACAGAGGTGCTAGCTATCACAAGTTTAGAAGCTTGGTGATATGAGGCAGATAGGATACAGCTGTGGAGAACATTCTGAACTGATTAAGAACGTTATAAATGTGACAAGAACGGGGTTTTATGGATAGCTTTTTAACTTTAAGCAGGGTATGGAACAGATATTTTACCAGAACAACACTTTTAACATTAACTAGAATCCACAATTCCTGGGAGACATATTAGCAAACCATGCCTCACCTCAAGAAAGGAAAATACAGGCTGCAGGACCCTTACAGCTTCCCTTCTAGCTCCATTTTTCTGCTCTGTATTACTTCTGATACACATCAAAACCACAAAAAAAAACCCAGAGAAACAAACAAACAACTCTTTCAGGGCGAGTGGAGGAAAGGCATTCGAGCAGCTGCCGTCGCTTACCGGCACGGAGGGGCTGGGAGGCGGCGGGATGGCGGCAGGCCGCGGCACACGGCGCGGTGCAGAGGCAGCGCGGGGCGGCTGGGCCGGGCCGGGCCGGGCCGGGGGCGCGTCCTGCCCGGGCACGGCGGGGATGGAGCCTCTGTGCCCGAGCACTGCCCCTGTGCCGCTGCTGCAGTACATCTCAGCTCTTGGGGCTTGCCCTCGGCACAGGACCCTCCCTGGGTGTTGTTCAGCCGTTCCAGTAATTCCCTGCATCCACGGTCACTCTGATGCATGGGCTGCAGCAGGAGGATGGCTCCATGACGAGATGGCTGCTTCTAAGAATTTAATGATATCGCAAGGTGGATACTGTTATAAATGAAAATTTGTCCAGCCAAATTAATATGAAAAATAAAATATTTATTTTACAATCAAATTTTATCTAGCCAGCAACAAGGAAAGAACAGAGCCGAGCCCGGGGTCGGCCCTGGGTGTGCAACAAAGAGGTCAGCCTCAGCAGAGGTTTTCCTCCATGCCCACACACCTCCATCCTGGCACAAGCAGTTTTTATAGGGAAAATTCCGCCTGAGGCCAAGATTTCAACAATCAGTCTTTTCTTCTATTCAGAGTCCATATGTTAATAAGATTTTTTTTTTTTTTGGTGATGAGGGAGAACAAATCACTGTCTGGAGTTTGTTGAATCCTTTGATGAAATTTACGGGAACGCCATATTCACATGTATCTGCCTGAGGATTTCCATGATATCCATCTCGGGTCGTTCACGCTAACGATCAGCACCTGGGGTTTCTGTATCTCCCCAGCCATGGCCCATCTCCTGGCGAGTACCTTCTTACTTGTAAATCAGTTTCCAATCTACACCCAGTCTCACCTGCACCTGTGAGGGGGGGGAATCCTAATACAAACATGTATACTCTAACAAATATTCAATATCACATATATCATATTAGAAATGGCGCAAATTATATCTACTACACATAACAGATACCATTAATAGTTGAATCACATACACCTCCTTTAGACAGTAAACCAGAGTCCTGGGCTGCCTGGGCCAGAAGGGGAATCACCTGTAGGCACTATTAGCAGAAAGGCCCTGACACGCGGTGTCACAGCCTCTCCATGACACGTGGATTGCATTTCTATGCAGGATCTGTCTGAGTCTAAAGGCAACAAGTTTTTAAACCAGTTAGCACTGGAACCTGCCAGGAAGACAAAAGTGAGAAACTACTGCTTGCTCAGCAATTTGGCCCAGACTCAGCCAGCAGCTGGCAAGCCAGAAGTGTATCACTCATCCCATGAGAGCATTCTGGTCTGTGGGTTATGCCGCCTTAACCGATACTGTATGCACCCTAAAAGGCAAATCCCTACATCCAAGTCATTCTCATTTCGCTCATCTGCAGAGATTGGTGCTTGCAGTAACAACAGTGGGACGCCGAGTTTGTGTTCTAAGCTGTAAATAGAATACCTGGCTTCAGTAGTTCCTTATCCATTACAGAAAAATCGCTTCTGTGCACGAGGTGCTCTTGCTGTTTCACATTCCTAGGCAAGAAAACTGATGAGCAACTTGAAAGCAGATGGGCAGCTGGAATGGTTAGAAGATAGAACAGCAAGTGAGAAAGCAAGCAAGCACGACAAATGTCTGTGCCTTTGGAGGGGGCAATCAAAGGGAAATCCAACAGGAGCTTCTCCTGACATGACACAGGCACATCTCCCTGACATGTTCCACAGCAAGCATGTGCAAACAGGGATTTTCTAGTTGGTGACAAGTTTTGTGACATCTGTTGTCACCTGAGGATGTGGAGTTACCTTCACTAGCATGGTAACCTTCTGCTACTGGCCTCCATTCCCCCTTAGCAGTCTCTGAAGAACTGGCACTAACACCAGAGCTGATGTGGGTCTTGGAGAAATTCATAAAGACCATATAGCACTCATACACTCCCTTTAGCTGGGGAGCGTTTCTGACTCAGAGAGGGAGAGAGAGAGAGAGTTGTCTGCAGCATCCCTGCAGCTATATTTCACTGTTCACCTCCACACCTCATTTCCCCACCGTGGTTACACTGTCATGTGTGCAGGGCTTCTCTGTGAGTATGGAAAGGTCATTTCACTGGCTGATCCTCAGCAGAGTGCCCCAGGCAAATGTGAACCTCTGACAGTTCTCAATCTTCATTAGACATTCCTTTGCCTTAGCAGATGAACCCTTCATGATATCTGATGTGTTTTTCCTTATCACACCTCTCTGAGATGGGCACTCTAAACTTCTGCTTTGGATTTGGAGGTTAGGGCACAGAGACTAAAGACACATTTTTAAAGGTCCTTAAGAAATTTACAGATGCAGAGTTGGCTGATACACTTTTCAAACCATGAAATGCATAACTGCAATTCAAATTGCTGAATTGAAAAGCCCTGGGGAGTCTATTTCCTTTTGATTGATATCAATGGGAATTAGATATGTTTTTTTCTAAAAATCATCATCTTTAAGAATCTAAAAGCTTCAATTTCAGCACCTTTCCTTACCACATAGCAGGAAACAGAGTCAGAGTTTTCCAAGCATGAGGCTACTGCTCTAGACACAGGTCTTCTTCTTAAATTTTTTTATTATTATTATTTTAAATATTTTTAAAATTAAACACAAGTCACCAGCCAGCCTGCAAAGGAGGAGTGTGCTATTAGACAAATTCAAGAACAGATCTACAAGTGGCTACTGAAAATAGGGCAGAGATGAGTCCATTAGCATCACTGATCCAGCATTTCTGAATATGGAGAGAAAGAGCAGAAAGTGCCACAGTTACCAGGCTCTGAAGAGCATGTGCTTTTGCTGTAGGGGAGACAGAACACTTGACCAGATGGCCCAGTGCTCTGCTCCAGGAAGCAATTCCTCATACTTTCCTGTTGTTATGTCTCAAGCAGTCTCTGCTGTGGCAGTATAAATGCACCAATAGCCTGCTCTAAGCACCAGCTTCTACCACCCTGCAGTCACACTTTCTGCTGTAATTCTCCCAGCTGGACAAGAACACATGGACCTTGAATGATCTACTTGGCATTTTGCTATGTAGACTGCTTTTTGTCCTGATCCCATACATTTTTAAATTAGAGTCTGAGCTGGTTATCTTCTTTGGAGCTGTTTCACTGCCACAGTTCCAAATCTGTGAATACGCTCTGCTTTTCTCTTTCTTCTTCAGACTCTTTTACATTCCATTTTTTCCTTCACAGGACTGTTATTGTGGTGGTGGCTGGCATGATTATTGCTACTTACCCCCAGTCCCCCAATGGCAGAGTAATACCTCTTTAATTGGGTATTTTTCCCTCCCGACACTAATCTCCTAACAAATGCCGATGTCGTGTTAGATGCTGTGTGGGGATCTCTCATCACTATCTCTTTAAGCAGGCAGTTGTGTGTGGAATGAATGCACAGTCACTCAGTATGGATGGATTTGTCTGAGTCCCTGTCAGCTCCCTGGTTTTGTCACTGAAATCTTGCTTTGCGGATCCGGATTTCTATTGCTTTAACTTTTTGAGGCAGATTTATCTCAACCCCTGTCAGATCAATGGGTTTTGTCACAGAAATCTATGTGACTTTGTTCCCTGTGGAGATCTGGCTAGTCAAGTTTGTGGAGGCTGATTTGGGAAGCTGAACCCGAGGCCTTGTTTGACTATGTCAGGGGTGGGTGGAGGGAGAACAATAAGAACTGAAAAGAGCAGAGGCCAAATGACCAGAAAAACTTCAATGAAAACTGCAGTAGCAACCTACATCCAAAGCCCAAGACAATCCAAGCCCCAAGAGAGCATATTCAGTCTCAACATCCATGCACACGTGGGCTCTCTATCTGCTGGCATCAGGAGGTGCTGCTCTGCCCATGGACTGCAGCCCTTGGGCAGTGGCTGGGATCTAACAGGGCTGCAGGTCTGAGGCAGATCAGCCTTTCAAGCCAGTCCTCTCTGGTTGCTCAAAACCCCCTGGAGCTGTGAAGGCAGAAGTCCATAGGAGGCACTTTTCCTTTAATGCCTCTGCAGTATATTAGGAAACACTGTGCTATCAGAGATGATCCTTCTTCAGGGATACAAGCCCAATTTTCTTTTTGCCTGTAGCCATCAGACTGCATGATTGTCTGACACCGCAACAACACATTCTTCCAGATAAAGAAGCTTTACTGAAATGCTATGTGTCCATCTTGTCACCTTAGCTGATTCAAAAATTTCCAGGAACAGCTTCAGTAAATGGAAGTTTCCTGATGAAAAGTACACTGCTCAAATAATCTTTTTGTTGGACTGAGGAATAACATTATTTCCTTTGCTTATTACTACTTGAAATTTTTTAATAATGATTATCACAGTTGAATTTGACCATGATCAAAGTCTGAGTGAACTTTAGGAACAAAATGGTAGTGGTAATAACAATAGCAATAACAGTAATAGGAAAGAAGGTAACATACATTAAAGGAAGAGCCTGGTGTTGACTGATAAAGACTCAGACTTGTCTGGAACAGCCAACTCAGCCTGAAAGCTCAACACAGCAGGGGTGGATTCCCTGTTGGTGAAACTGCCTCAATTTTATATTTGAAGCAGAGCATTTTAAAAAAAAAGGGTACCCCAGGAAAGAGGAGATTTGGAAAAAGTAGCCATTAGCATCTCAGTATTAATGAAAAACAGTGCAAATTTGTGGCCATGGGTCACCTCATTGTTCTCTTTGCAATATTCCAGTCATAGGCGTTCTTTAGAGCAGATGCTCATTTTTGTGCCTACTTTGTGGTATTTCCTTTCTTTCTTTTTAATGGAACTCTCCTTTTGTTGTATGCTTTTCTATTTCAACTTTACCTCTGGAAAGTCTCCATTCCCATTTTTTACCTTCTAATCCTTCTTTATCCATCCTTCTTTCCCCGCCTCATGTAAACATTCATGCTTCTTTTTACTTTTTTTTTTTTCTTTTTACTTCTTCCTCTGGGTGATTACCTATTCTCTTTTAACTGGTGCCCCTCCTTAGCTTTTTCCCTTTGCAATCCTTTCATGTCCCTCTGTCCCGTCTGCTGCGAAGGAAGCTCTAGTCCTTAGGTATTGATGGCATGTGTATTTCCTACCTGTGATTCTGTGCTAGATACCTCTGTGTGCCTGTGCAGATCCAGTGCAAGCCTGGCTAAATACAGGAAATCAGGAAGCAAAGCTGAGTGAAAGGTTGCTTACTTGTGCCTGTGATTTGTGGTTGTTTAATAATGGCCTCCTGATTAACACAGACCTCAATTCCAGAAGTGCCACAGTGATAGATACTC